TATAGGGCCCCCATATACAGTATTGACTCCAGCCCAGGGGCCCCCATCCTGACTCCAGCCCAGGGGCCCCCATCCTCCTAAATCCGGCCCTGCACATAACACATTATCATTATTATTAATGTTAATATTTTAATTGATCACAACCTTCTCCACTTCATTTCCATCATTTTATAAACATAGAATATTCTATACTAATGCTAAACTGTGGAAGGTAATAAATCCAGTTAATAAGGACTAATCAGTTTTAAGAGGATCCCAGTCACAGCCCACTCCTTTCAAAAAATAAAATAAATAAATAAAAATTGCTAAAATCTATTGGGAGGACTGTAAGGGACGTCGCGATGGCCCGTTTAAAGCCTTGTAAATCAGGTTCGGACGGCCATTTAATTAACTTGCAAATTAATGCACCATGCTGTGTAAATTGTATGGAGATAAATATTCATGTAGTTAGCTAAGAAAAGGGCAAGGGTTTGGAAAGCAGTGCACCCAATAAACACCTCCCTTGTATGTTAAAGATAGCTACTTTAAATTTCTCATGCATCACGGGTTATGCAAAAGCAAGAGTCATTCTCTCTGCCCCTGCTCGCTCGTCTCACCACCTCCACTCCATTTCTGTTGATGCTGCCCATGTCAGGTCAGGATTTTATACAAGCTGTTCTCTTCTCGAAAGACTTCTCTCAGAGACAGTCCGATGAGAGATTCAGGCAGTAGGAAATGCTTAAAACACAAACGGCGTGCTATATTTGTTCGCCATCAAAGTGTGTAAATGTTTAAGTCTGAGAGCGCGTCTGTCACGTATCAAAAGACAGATATAGATAGACGAGGCACTCCACTCCGCTTCATCTATTTATATCAATGTGCAATCAGAAGTGCTTTAAATTAGGCCCATGTAAACACTGTAGCTCAGACAACAACACAAATGAATCACTTCCTGTGTTACAGAAATACGAGCAATCGACAGATCAGACTGAGGATTCGATCATCTGTCCTGTTGGCTCAACATGCCAAGGACAGGTAGATTATAGCTGATCCAGCACTCTGGGATGTGAAGGGCATTTTTTTGGTCTGTCTTATCATATGTGCCACTCTCCATAACTATTTATTATGGCTTTTTACTGACCAGTAATGCACTTAAAGTCAAAGCAAAAATGCTGGTTAGTTAGAATTCAGGACTGTGCGTGTTGTTTCCCTGTTTACTGTGCTTGACCTGCATTCAGCAGAGCCAGGACACGGTGTACAGCTCGCTTCCGTCAGTGAAACAGCCCCATCCTTGTGCTGAGCAGCATCTCACCCCACAGGAAGTCAAAGTGACAGACTGCTACTTCTCACAGGCTCAACCCATCACCAACACACAGAGCTGGATCCCGCATTTCATCATTACGCACGTCGTGACGCGTTTATATAAGAACTGGATTTTTGTTACGTCATCACGGTTTTGATTGACCATATATGGGTTTATTTATCTGATGTAAATGTATAAATATATTTAAAAAAAAATGATGGTCCTATATTGCAGCTTGAGGTCTTTCTCTGAATGATGGGACAAATTTAGAGATAAAGCAGAAGGAGGCAGTTGATTGAGCAGGAAACCATCACGCTGCAAAGCGACCACATTACGCACAGACGCATTGATGCTCCCAAAGCTCCTGGACTAGTTTGTCACGAAGAAAAAACGCCTGAAAATGGAGAAGCAGAGTAGAATGAACAGTTTAAACCCTGAATATATATATTCTGACTCTATAGCGCAGATCCTCTTAAGGCTTTTATTCCCAGCAGGACTTCAAAGCTCTATGCCACACACACCATGGTTGTCAGAATAAACGCAATTAAAGCGCATTGATGTTTTATAGAGCAGGAACGTCTTAATTTGGGAAATATCCTGCTAAAATATGTCCTCAAACAGCCAAACGATGCATCATGAGACCTGAGCTATAAATAAAGCTGACTGACTACGCTTAAATGAGTCGGAAGAGGGCAGAGTGATAGTAGGAGGCTGTTTCCTTCTCACTCCAGCATTCATGCCGTTTCAACCAATGAGCCCAATGAGCTCAGAGCGCACCGCCCACTGTCGGCGTGTGTGTGTGTGTGTGTGCGCGCGCGTGTTTTCTTCTCCTTTCCTTTTTTCTCTTTTATAAAACCGAAGCTGGATGTGTAGCTCGTCACATGTTGTTTCCTCTCTTCTGCCCGAACACCAGCAGACATGTGTTATTTACTGCGCGGCAGCGGGAGAACACGCGCACATCGGAACTGACAGACGCGTAAAAAGAGACGAGCAGAGGAGGAGGAGAAGTCGTTTCATCTTCGGCGGCTCCAGGAGGAGACGCGTCTGGAGGAGAGAATGGCGAGTCCTCCAAACACGGGCGGACAGGCTCTGGTGTCAGCGGCTGTCGGCGTGAAGAAATGTGGCTGTCTGAAGAAGCAGAAGCACGGACACAAGCGCTTCTTCGTCCTGAAGGAGGCCGGCGAGGGTCTCCCCGCCCGGCTGGAGTACTACGAGAGCGAGAAGAAATGGAGAAACAAATCCGCCGCCAAGAGAGTTATTCCTCTGGACTGCTGCCTCAATATCAGCAAGAGAGCGGACGCGAAACACAAGCACCTCATCGCGCTTTACACCAAGGATGAGTATTTGGCCGTGGTGGCGGACAACGAGCCGGAGCAGGACAGCTGGTACCGGGCGCTGACGGATTTAATGTCTGAGGGGAAAGTCTGTGACGGCTCGGCGTCCAACTCTGCGTCGTCGCTGGTTGGCTTCGACGAGGCGAGTTATGGTGTGATAACGCCGGTGGCCGCCGCCTACAAGGAGGTCTGGCAGGTGAACCTGAAGTCCAAAGGCCTGGGACAGAGCCGGAACCTGACGGGAGTCTACCGGCTCTGCCTCTCCAGCCGGACCATCAGCTTCGTGAAGCTGAACTCTGAGCTGGCCTCCGTCATCTTGCAGCTGATGAACATCCGGAGGTGCGGCCACTCCGACAACTTCTTCTTCATCGAGGTGGGTCGCTCCGCCGCCACCGGCCCCGGGGAGCTGTGGATGCAGGCGGACGACTCTGTGGTTGCTCAGAACATCCACGAAACTATTCTGGAGGCGATGAAAGCGATGAAGGAGCTGTCGGAGTTCCGCCCGCGGAGCAAGAGCCAGTCGTCCAGCACGAATCCCATTTCTGTGCCCACGAGGAGACACCTGAACCACCTCCCCCCGAGCCAGACCGGGCTGCCCCGCCGCTCACGCACCGACAGCACGGCGGCCACCTCTCCTGTGAGCAAGTGTGCGTCCTGTCGGATACGCACCGCCAGCGAGGGCGACGGTACCATGACACGCCCGTTGTCGGTAACAGGGAGCCCCCTCAGCCCGGGGATCCACAGGACCCTCCTGAGCAGATCCCACACCATCACAGCTCGCCCCACTCTGACGTTTGAAGCCTCCACTCTCCAGCACAGTAAGTCCATGTCCATGCCTCTGTCTCATTCACCTCCTGTGGCCACCACTTGCCCAAAACATGTGTCCTGCCTGGACAACAGTGCCCCCCGCCCTTCCAGCTGCAGTGCGTCCTTCTCAGGGTCCCCCAGTGATGCAGGCTTTATATCATGTGAGGAGTACGGCTCCAGCCCTGCAGATGCACGCGACCTCAGGTTACCCCTCACCCTCCGCAGCAACACTCCTGAATCTCTTAAAGCAGACACCCCACCCTCCAGGGATGGCAGTGAGCTTGATGGCTACATGGTGATGGAACGGCAAAACCAGAATGGATACCGGCGGTTTTCAGAGCTGGACAAGGCCTTTCGAAAACGAACGTACTCTCTCACAACACCACGCCAACAGAGACGTCCCCCACAGGTTTCCTCAGCCTCCCTGGATGAGTACACTCTCATGAGAGCCACGTACACAAGCGGAAGCCAGTCCTCTCTGAGGTGCCATACTGTGTCACCGAAAGTAAACGGACTTGAGGATTACAAGGATGTTAATATCAGCTCCAACAGTCTCCATGGTGACAGTGGCTATATGCCAATGATGCCTGGAGTGGCGCCTCAGACACCAGGGTCCAAGGATGACCCCTACATGCCCATGAGCCCGATGTGCGTTTCTGCTCCAAAACAAATCATCAACTCACGTTCACATGCCTCTGCAGGGCTGGCCCCATGCACAGACTCCCCTGGAAGTGTTTCTCTGGAGGACAGTGGTTACATGCCTATGTGGTGTGGGAACAAGATGTCAGTGGAAAGCACTGATGGCAAGCCTAGCAATGGAGAGTACCTGTACATGTCTCCTGTTGACACCCTCGTCTCTGTAACACCTCCTGATTACATTCTCAGTCCTTCAGGAGATTCACACCTCCAGCACAGACAGCCTTATTCTTACAACTCTCTACCAAGATCACTTAAAGTACAGTTACAGCGTAATGGGCCCACTGACACAGACCAGTATGTGGTGATGAGTTTACGAAGACAACGGATAGAAGAGGAGTCCAACTACTGTCCTGTTTCACCTGGAGAAACTTTGTCCAGCAGCTCTCCAGGAACACCAGACACTCCGTCTTCTGTTCCATCTCCTCTCAGACTGACTCGCATAGATGGAGGCTTGGTACCTCGCAGCAGGGTGTGTCGGCCCACCCGCCTGGCTCTGGAATCCCTCAGAACACTACCATGTATGAACGAACATCCCCATCTTTCAGAACCACGCAGCCCAGGAGAGTATATAAACATAGATTTTGGTAGTGCCGCCCACATCCCACTCACATCCACCACATCAGAGGGCTCTGAGGCTGGGAGCTTAAACGAGGGAACCCTATCACTGTCAGACTATGCTAACATTGATGTCGGCTCTCCAGTTCACCTTGAATCACATCAAGTGGGGGTTTCTCCCGCAGCAGGGTGTCGAAACCACACATCTGAACTGTTGATTTGCCCCAGTCCCATAAGCAGCCAGCAGGACGTACGGAGAGATGAGGAGCAAACAGAGGAACAGATAAAAGAGAGGGGGATGCAACAGCATGGGAGCTTGGTGTGTGAGCCTGCGCCGGTCAAAGATGACTATGCTGAGATGACTTTTGGCCCTCCTGCTCCTTTACCTGTCCTCTGCACCCCTGATGCTGCACCCCTCCCCACCAGCCCCGCTGCTTGTGTCAAGAGACTCAGCCTTGAGAGCAGCTTAGTGGAAATAGTTCCTCCTGTGCCATTAGACTCTTTTCTCCTGGGTGGTCCTTCATTATCTGTTGTAGATCCAAACAGGGGGGCAAAAGTTATCCGGGCTGACCCTCAGGGTCGTAGGCGTCACAGCTCCGAGACCTTCTCCTCCACCACCACTGTTACTCCTGTGTGCCCGTCATTTGCTCACGACACCAAACGACACAGCTCGGCCTCTGTGGAAAACGTGTCCCGCTCTGTTCGTAGCTCCGAGGAGCCCAGCGAAGACCACGCCGGTCTCATGTGCAGGGAGACGTCGGCTGGTTATCAAAACGGACTTAACTATATTGCCTTAAACTTGATGGAGGGGAACTTTGGGGGCTGCAGGTTAGGAGGTTGCGATGAACTGCTCAGGTTCAAGACAGCCTGCAGCTGTAAAGGGGGCCTAAATGGTTTCAATACCAGTCCTTACGCCAGCCTGGGATTTAAGGAGACTACTACTGCTGCTGTGAAAGGTGAGTTTTCATTATCACACACATACTGTACACACACACCCATTCATTCAGGTTTTATTCACCAGGATAGGGAGTGGTGTTTGGCTAGAGTAGGATAAAGATGCACAGATTGTCTCTTTACAGCCAATTGCTGATTTGCACTATGTTCTAAAGTTGATGTCCATCAAAAGAAAACATGCCTAAAAAGCTTCATTTGTGTGCTAATGTGGCATCTTCACTTGTTTGTCCAGTTGACTAGAAGTTAAAAGTTGACACACTGCTTGTTTACTTGTGAGCTCTTTTACAAATTTATGATTGCGACTTATCTGTTGGGTATGCAACAAAAAAGGCTGACAGTGTTCTGAAATTCACTCTGAGTCCATCCATCAGCTGCATCTTATTCACTCTTAGTGTTAATATAGAGATATGTAAACACAGGCTGCCAGAGCTAAGAGAAGTCAACTAGTTATTAGCATTGCCGTTGGGTGTGGGCTGTGATGTTTAGATAGGATTAGTCACCTACTCGTCACACCCATGACTCTGAAAAATCTCAAGCCTGTGTGATGCTGAGGAAGTCTTTTATCTGTTTGAAACTGCAGAAACCCTGGAAACGGCGTCTGTTTCCTTCTCATTAAAAACTTAAACCTAGAAAGCCAATAAAATGAACCAAAGTGTGCAAAACTGTTAAAATACACATATCTTCTCTGCAGCAGGCTGCCTTTTCCATTGCCCAGTATATTGGTAAGGTAGCTTCATTTAGACATGTTTTACCCAGCAACTATTTTATTTTGAAAAAGCTTTTCACAGTTGTACTCTGTCTGGCTTGATGCTGCTGTAGTGTGTGAATGGTTCTCTCTGAACTCCCTTAGTGACGCAGTTTTGTACCACGTCAGTATAAAAAAAAAAAAACCCGGACCTGAACTGATTCACTGACGCACTTATGACCACTTCTGATGCCTCTGTAGAAGCCGGTAGTCCAGCTAAAATCTTTATTTTTTCATAAACTGTATGCAGTGTTTTAAAAATATTTAGAAGCTGGAACATGTGGGTGAACAAGCACAGAAATCCTTGTAACTAGTGGGAAGGGGGGGGTGGTTTTCATCCAAATATTACAGTTTGCCCCATTTTGTTGAGCGTTGTTGCGTCAGTGACTTTTCATGCATCTGTAACTGGCAGGGATTATTTACGGAGGTGGAAAGACCTGGCACAGGCATGTCAGAAGTTGTTGTTGCCCGAAAAGAAAAGACACCGGATCATTGTGAGTCACCAGTCTGTGCTCCTGATGGGGAAATAGTAGAGTTTAATTAGTGTTTGTGCTTTCACAACCAAGTTGTCTGTTCTTCTCCGTCTCAGCTGGCTCTCGCGCTGTGAGCCACAGCCAGCGTGGAGCTCGGTGCAAGTCATCGGGTTCCCCAGAAAAACAAGTGAGTCAGTTGTTTATCAATTGTCAGGTACTGGGTTTCAGGACTGGAATGCGGGCAGTGTGCAAAGGTTGCTGGGAGAGGTGAATGCTCACTTGTTTTTCTAACCTGGTGGGATGGACTTAGAGGAGGGGGTGGGAGGATCCTGTTTTTCTCCCCTCTATGAGCAACTTCACAAACATGCCAATGAAATGTTCTTTCACAAGTCTGAGTGCTGATAAACATGTTTTGTATCAGGACAATTGACTTCAGACATGTACTAAACGTATGCACACGTTAGTCCTGTCCATTTCTTCTTTTAATTTGTTTAACGAATAAACGGATACATGACTGATTCATTTGTCAAAAGTCTACTATCCAAAAAAGTGAGGTTAAAGAATAACAAGGGATGGAGGTTTGGTTTTTGTTTACAACAAAACAGGCTGAAGAGCAGGAGAAAGTGAAGAAGAAGAAGAGTGAAGGAGCAAGAGGACAGAGGGAAAGAAAAAGCACAGAGATGTAGATTAGTCACTGCCCAGTTACAGGTCAGTGACCTTCCTTTACCACCAAAATAGAGAACATTTCTGAAACAGGAGGTACTCCTGTTTACTACAAGAGGACAGGCTTTACCACATTCTCCTGTAATCTCAGAGTGAACCATTGTTTGCATTCCCATCATTGCATAACGTACATTTGGAACATCACCTGTTTTTATCTGGCATCTGAAACCACGATGGTGTAAGGGAGCAAGATGCTGCACATTTTAAGTATTTTCAACGCGTCAGTATAAAGAGACGCGCGTTGTTTTTAATCTGTTTGAACTGTTAACATACACCTTCGCGTTTGGAGTTTTGACTTTTACTGGCCTTTTCGTAATTATAATTTCTCTTGAATTTTAAAAATGAACCAAGTCAAGATTTCCAGGCCTGTTTTGATTGGACTGCATGCATGGCTAATTACAACTTTATAATAGACAACTTCAAAACAAATCTTGTAAATGTCACTATAAATTAAAAGGTAAATTCACATGTTTGGATAGAAAAAAAATAAATTGAGGAGTTGTCCTCACTTGATATTCCATAGAAACAGAAAGATGCTTTATATTTTACCCTAAACGACTAATACGTATCAATAATTGCCTATACTGTACTTATTGTGAAATGGAAATACTTACCGGTAGTTTCTGGGGAACGCACAGTCATGGCTGAAAATCCTGACAGCTTATAGACTTTATCTCCTTGTGGTGTTTTCTTTTCTAATACAGGATTAAATTTGTTATGTGAAACCTTGTTTCGGAAAGGTGTTTTTGTTTCCTATTATGCACATGGCTTATTTTGAACAAAGGGCTAAAATTACAAAAGCAAAGGAGAAAACGCGTTAAACAACAAACAAAACGAGGAAGTGCCTTTGTTTTGTTGCTAAATTTAGATCCCGATATTAACGTTTTCTAATTTGGTCGCTCAAAAGATCTATAACGAAATGGAAACATTATATTATACGTTTTGTATAATAGTATTGTACTCGAGGGATTACCAGAAATCCACACCTTTATTTTAGTGCTAATAAAGAAAAGATACATTATTTTTTCCACCTTTTCTATCTCCCTTTTGTTTGACTGTCCCCATCACACCTTGGACTATTTGAAAGCCTTTTTTTTTTAATCATCATTTCTTTTTATTTTTTTTTTACCTTTTCTGTCTTTTATCCAACATTTTGCTCTTTGAATAAAAGCAGTCGTGCTCGAGCGCAGACGGGGGAGAACACTGACTCACCCTCTCCATTCGTAGACCCAGACTGCTCACCCCCCACCCACTCCTTCCAAAATCCACACACATGCACAGACACATTTTTACTTTGTGTGCCTCTGCCATGTGCGTACGTATACAGCTATCAGCAGATGGTGGAGGATGGGTGTGTGTGTGAGGGGTCAGGGGTTTTTTGCACCTGCCCCGCCAAGCAGTGCTCACTGCTTATCTGGCCCCTTGGAGGAGAGTGACAATGCAGCAATGACTGGCCCACCATCTGCTGCCACAACAACGGGGGAGGTGGTGGGGGCGTGGCCAAGCAGTCTCAAGAAACCTTTTTTTTTTCTCTCTTGTGCATCCTCCTCCCCTATTCCTCCTGCCCTTCCCTCCAGACCCTGGTGTCTGTTTTTCAGAAACCATATGATTCAGCCCTGCCTTTCCCCTCATGCACACACAAACACGCCTTCTTCAAATCACTGCGAGTAGGTGTTGTTTTTCTTGTGGCTCTTCGAATGCAGTGCATCATCTCCGAATGGCTTCTCTCACTGTAGATTGCAGACGAATATCTTGCAAGCTCATTAACAAGTAGCTGTTTATTTGCAAGTTGTTTTGGTACCACTTCACAATAAGGCTCCCCTTATACATGGCTAATAAATAAACACTTTATAAATCAGTAATAACTGCTACGTTATATGTTATATTAGTTGTAAATACTTATAATGCAGTGATAAAGTACAATATGATACACTAAAAAATAGGTTTATAGATGCTTATTGTGCTTACAAGGTAGTAACTTAGTCTGACATGTTTAATATAACAACTCTAGATGAAATATAAAGGTGAACAGATTAGGCTCACTATTTGGCAACAAACGGGTCAGTTTTGTCTCTTTCACCCCTAATTAATGCATAATAAACAGTTATTAATGATTTATAAAGTGTTTATAGAGGAATTAATAATGTGTCTATTAGGGCTGAACAATTAATTGCATTTGCGATAATATCGCGATATGATAAAACGAGATTTTCTAATCGCAAAGGCTGCGATCTGACGGGTCACGTGATCTGGTTACGTCACTTGCGAGTGCGTGGAGCAAAACAGAGCTGGGGGCGGGAGATGTCAACATCGCCATTGAACCGGTTGCACAGTGGCGTCAGGCTCGACAGAAGCTGACACATCTGAAAGTTTGGTACCAAAGTGGCGCAGCACGTCCGTTGTTTGGAATTATTTTGGCTATAAAAAAGAAGACGCAGCTCAACGACATGTGTCGTGCAGAACCTGCCTTGCTGCTGTTGTTACCTCTCGAGGTAACGCCACAAATCTTTATCAACACTTAAAAAAACACCACAAAGCCATTTACGATAGTTGCATGACTAGAATGCCAACGACCAGTGCTTCAACTTCAAGTAAGCAAAGCACCCGCCGACAGGGATCACTGACTGAACTATTCGAAGCTATTACTCCGTATGAGCATAATTCGAAACGGCACGTGGAAATAACTCAAGCATTAACAGAGTTCATAGCGAAAGACACGATGCCCATTAATATAGTAATCAAGCCTGGGTTTATGGCTTTAGTAAACACGATGGATAAGCCCTCGCAAACACATTTTAGCCAAGTTGCTAACCCGGAGCTACACAAAAAATGCACAAGCAGAGTTGCAACGGAGCTGAAAACAGTGGAGTTTTTTTTGCAACTGAAACCGATTTATTGCTCTTGTTCGTTGAAAAATACATGAGAAGAAGACATTGAAAAATGATCGCATATTAAATCACAATCACAATATTGAGGTTAAAATTCGTATATATTTTCCAAAATCATTCAGCCCTAGTATCTATAAACTATTTATTATCTATCTATAAGGGGAGCCTTATTGTAAAGGCTTTTATTTGTATTGTTGTTGCTTGTTGATTTCTTAAACTTTTATCATTTAATATCAGGTTATGATTTTAAGCTCATTTTTTGGTTCCATTTTTAAGATATGCAGCAGCGCCTCTGTTCACCTGTCCTATAATCCCCCACCTCTCCCTTGCAGACACACGTACAGCAGCGTTCCTGCCTCTGATACATAACTCTTTGAGCAAAGTAGGGCAGGATGTTCCAGCTCCAGATAAAAACAAAGTTAACCTCTCGGCTTCTCAGTTTAGCTTGGAGGTAAGAAGGATTACATTCACTTTAGGATTAGGCATTGTTCAGTCACTTGTTGTCGAAAGGTGAAGAAGAGACAAGAGGTTTTTTTTTTTTCCTGTGGCGTCTACGTTAAATTCAAATCACAAACACAAAAATGAGAGTAGTTTTGATCCAACATTTGTCTGCCAAGACTTCTCTGAAGGTTTTCTGCCCGTCGTAGACTTGAGTGTTGTATTAAATGAAGAAAGCAAAGAAGGAAACTCATCTACATCACGTCAGTCACCAGACCCTGTTACTGATTCATTCAGGCCTCCTGTTCCTCTGATCATTTTTAAAAGGGGAATGTTCAGATCACCTGAAGTGGGGTTTTGTGTAAAGGTTAAAATGACCAGAGTGGATTGCTGCCTTTTTGAAACTGTTCTCAAAATGTCATAGTGGTTAATGCAAATGTTGTTTTATAACGCCATCAGTTTTGCACTACATGGGTTTTTAGGCTGAAACATAATATTCTTGTTGGAAATCCCTCAGGCAGCATCAAAGCTGTAACTACTGCCACTATTTGCACTCCCAAATGTCTGTTATGCAAAATTGACAGATATAAAAACTTGTTGAATATAGTTTACATGAACCGTTATGATACATTTGGTACTGAAGTTGTTTTAAGATGGCAGCCATCCACTTTGGTGTGATCCTTCCTCAGACTAGCCGTTAGCTCACCAATGTGGTGGAAATTTAATTGTTTTTATTCAAGCTGAATCCATCCAAAGAGCTTTCAACAACAGATAAGATATTATTTGTTCATAAACGTTTCCATACCTCCGCTTCAGAAGTTTTAAATTATTTTAGCATTTATACATATTTTAAGACTTTATAAACTCTTCACACACTCTTGCAATGTTCTTAACATTGTTCTATACTCATAAACCTACGTAATTTTAACAACATATGTATATACAGTACTGCAAAAGTTTATACGTGTCTCAAAACTCTTTTTACCACATCGGTTTTTCCACTAGTGTTTGCTCCCTCCATTGCTGTTCTACGAATTACGTCAGAAAGCAGCGGCCGTTAGCACTGTTGGCTTCTGGGCCATGTAGTTCTTTTGACTTGTGTTACAGTATAGGCTAATTGAAATAAAACTTCAAAATGGCGGCACCTGTCTGAAGTACATTTGCTTCCATTCAGTTCAGTTTGTTTTGGTTCACCTGTCCAAAGTATATATATATATATATATATATATATATATATATATATATATATATATATATATATAGTTTAGTTTTTTCGCCCTATTGGTTGGTTTACGTTCCCGTCCATGCCCATTAACTTCTTATCCCTTCCCAATCACGTGAGTAATTTTAAAGTTGACAATTGTGTGTTGTGTACAACTCTGCGTTGAAAACCCACAAAAGAGTGACTCTGCAAAAGTCGAACTGCAAAGTATCCAGGGACTACTGTTTATATACTGTACAAAGTATATACAGTACAGTAGTCCCTCGCTACTTTGCTGTTCATTTATCGTGGACTCGCTTTATCGCGGTTTTTCAAAATAAGATTGGACATGACACACAATT